ATAAACTAAATTGTGGAAAATAAGTTCAAGGCCCTCTTCCATGGAATCCATGTCTTCACCATCATAAGAATATTGATCATATATATAGGAGGTGAAGTCCAATCACAACCAACTTCATTATTAGAGTTAATCGTTTTATTAGTCCCTGAATTTAAACCTGAGTAGCATTTGAGTACCTCAATTTCTAAAATGGTTCTCGTAGTCCTTTAACTTTAGTTTCGTTAGGACAAATGGTCTTGCCGTCAATTTTGTTAACTTTTCTGATAAGTACAGGGGCAAAATTGTATTTTTGTATCAAAATTGATTAAAATATAAATAAAAAAATTTAAAACTAAAAAATTACTCCCCCCCAAACTTTATTTATTATTTGTTGGTTTTTTTATGTGATTTTCTTTTATTGTTATTTTAAAGATATGATTTTTTATTCATTTTTTTTATTTTAATATAAAAATATCATTTTGCCCTTGCATTTAATAGAAAAAGTTAACAAAATTAACGGCAAGACCATTTGTCCAAACGAAACTAAAGTTAAAGGACCACGGGAACCATTTTGGAAATTGAGGTACTCAAATACAAATCGAGTCAAAATTTAAGGACTAATAAAACAATTAACTCTCATTATTATTATCAAGCTCACTTTTTAATATAAAAGGCGACAAATATTGGTTTACCTCGAAATCTGGATTTTCTTTGTTCTCAATTGGCTTTTCCACCTTAAAATTTGATTCTTCGGTGTACTTGAACACATAAGCGTCTGTACAAGCCCTGGCCACTTCAAGCCAATTATGAAATATTGGTGTCCCAGTGTTCCATAATTGACACTTGCAAGTTGCAACTCTGCAACATACACAGTTTCAAATTGTTCTCATGATGTGAATACCTGCGTTTTGATGCACGATGCTTCATAAGAGCTTCATGGTGTTCAATTTGCAAGGCAAGTTCCTCAATTTGTCTACGAAGTGCTTGAAGTTCTTCATCTCTCTCACCTTTTAAATTCTCAATCAAACGGTAATTAGCTTTTCCCCTATCTCTTCTTGCAGCCATTGGCACGATAGATCGAAAGCCACCCAAGAGCTTTAGTAAAGCTATGATACCAAATGATGCGGGGAAACATGTGACTAGAGATTATACAAGAAACATCAAGGAGCACAACTAAAAACAAAGAGCCCAGCTCTATATTGTCATTATCAATATCAACGTAATCAAAGTTTGCCTCATTCTTCCATAAACCCACCTAATTATACTCCCACTACATGAATCTGACCCAAGGCTTCCAATTGCACGAACCATATGTGTAAATGAATCATAAACCTTCTTGAAATATGAAAAGTCTTTTGAACTTGTCCCATTATGCACTGCACCACCAAGCATGCATGAAAGAGTCACAATACCAGTCATGGATTCTAATTCAGGAGAACAAAAAAATTGAGAAAATAAAATTCTCTTGCGAAACAGATGAGCAAGTTGTCAAATTATCTATCGGTCCATTAATTAAGTGGAATCATGTTTAAATATATGTTCTTAATTTAGAATCGGACAACATAACATGTTGAGAAATCAATCCTTTCTACAAATTAATGGGCTACTCGATGCCGGCAGCCCAGAAATTAATGGGCTACACGTGTTGTTCTAGACCACCTCATGCTTGGACTATTTTGGGTTACTCAATTCGACCAACAAAACCTGTATTATTTTGTGACCCATTGCATAAATTGCCAATTTGGGTTCCAAACAATTTTAGGTTAACCAACCGTGATTGTGCCATTTTGTTTACCATCATTGTATTTGTCAATTTGGTTTTAAACAATTTAATCTAGGACTTGGTCCCAACGTGAATGGCGTCCACCCAACCTAAAGCATAATATTGGTTGGCATGGCAGGCTGCTGGGGCAAGCTTTAGGGGGATATATGGATCAAGGATATTTGGGGATCTTCTGCAGCACTTGTTTTGAGTACTTGAGGGTACATTATTTTTAGCATGCAAATTATGCATCCCACCCACCACATAATAATATTTTTAATGTTTGAAAAAGAAGGAAAAAAACAAATAAACCCCAACTGTTCAATGTTCTGATATGATTTATAGTTAATTGATTACACATGAACAGATTACTTTTCAAACTTTTGTCTAATATTTCTGCACTATCTTTATGGCGCGGCCTAACTTTCCGCCAGATACTTCCTTAGGGGCTAAACATCAAACACATACAAAGTTTTTATAAGATAAAACCAGCAGCATTGTAACATTTTCACAGCATAGGCTCCAATTCCATTGGTCTTTTTTATCTTTATATCTACCATTCACTACTTTGACTAGTCTAACCAATCAAAAGTGCTTATAAACAAGTAAAGAAACACAATCACTTTGCAGGGCAGGGCAGGGCCACTTCTGTTTAGGACTTTCTCGAACAGTGCTGCAATTTCAAAAGCAAAACCATTCAAACATCTAAGTTACACACCTTTAGCTCCACCTACAACCCTCTTTTGCAAATACCAATGACAAACAAAGTGGTCCCACTATCCCTCTCAATCAAAAGCTTCTTTTCCTTTACTTGCTTTAATCAATTTCCTAATTTATTTAAAGAAACAATTATCTTCCTCTTCCCCCTTCATTACTTGGTTCAGCTGTTTTTTCTCCTGGTTATTCATTCTCCAGATATGTCACCTCTCCCACCTCCATCTCCAATTCCACCTTCACCTCTACCTCAACCCCCAGCGCAGAGGCATATCCAACACCCACCCCAACCCCCACGGCAAACCACACCGGTCTCTCTCAACCAAATTATCATATCAAAGCTTGCTACGAATCGAGAAGTTCCAGCACCTGATGCAAAAGATCAGGTCTCCAGTAAATCAACAAAGCAACCAATACTCCGGCAACCTCAACGGACCAAGCCACTTATATGGTGTTGTGCAATTGTGTGTCTCGTATTCAGCCTTATTCTTATCATCTTTGGAATTGCAACTTTGATCATCTTCCTAGTTGTTAAACCAAGAACTCCATTGTTTGACATCCCCAATGCAAGCCTCAACACCATCTACTTTGACTCGCCAGAGTATTTCAATGGTGACTTCACTTTCCTGGCAAATTTCTCCAACCCAAATCGGAAAATCGATATAAGATTTGAGTATCTGGATCTGGAGCTTTACTTTTCTGACAGGCTCATAGCAACTCAATCTCTTGGACCTTTCACTCAAAGACCCGGAGAAGGAAGGTTGGGATCAGTTCGCTTAATATCAAGCTTGGTTTACTTGCCTGAGAATCACGCTGTGGCTCTTCGAACACAGGTGCAGAACAATAGGGTCAACTATAATATAAGAGGAACATTTAAAGTGAGAGCCACTCTAGGAATGATCCATTTTTCTTACTGGTTGCATAGCAGATGCCAATTACAGATGACAGGCCCACCAACTGGTGTTTTAGTTGCTCGAAGTTGCAAAACTAAAAGATGAAGATGAGGAGCATTATTCCTTGTACCTTCTTTCTATCTTCTTATTGTATCTACATTGAAACCTAAATGCAATTTTTGGTGTATAAAAGTCATATGAGCTATATAACATGATACATGAGCATTCTTTCCTACAATCTGAAGAAATACTTTTTCTTTTTCTTTTTCATTCAGATTTTCGGTCGATTGTATTACAAGTTCATAAAGTAACAAAACCAATAGAAGGACAACTCATCATCATTGAAAAAAACTGTATAGAAAAGACATGGGGTTAAAGATCAGAGGGCACAAGATAAGCTCTTCTACAGAAGGAAAAGAAGGGGGGAAGTCATAGTTGTGTCCACTGAATAGGAACTCTATTTGAGGAATAGGAAGCACTACAGTTCTGCTTGTGGAAAAGGTTAGCAAAGGATGTATGGAGATTCAATTAGGATCCTGCAGTGATTTCCACCTAATTTCTCCCTTATTTAAAAACTTAACATTATCCCCATATGGTGTTCTGGCATGGCACTACCACTTTAATTTATTTACTTAATCCAAAGAATTCCTATAAAAAGCATTGATAGGTCCAAAGTTCTTAGAGAAATCTAGAGAATGAACCAAGATAACAAGGGAATCCATTGCCAGGATTGTATTTGTAGGGGGTACATTTCTGGATAGTCACTATGTCCACAGTGTCCTAATCAGAAATCACCAATATAATATCACTTTTAGATCCATCAACAATTTAGATATTCTGAAAAGTCTGAAAGAGACCAATTTTAAATTAAAGAAACACCACAAGATCACAGTCAGATCTTCAATAGCAATGTAATTAATTATGTTACGTAATGGACAGCTGGTAGCTGGAGAGTAGCCAACAGATGAGAACTAGCCCAATCTCTATAATTTGTACTAGAATTTCCACCAGACGACTATGCATATCTAAACTGCCTTATGTGGAAGTTCAGACCAATTTATGTGATCATAAACTTGGTTAAAGCAGAGAGCTAGCAGTCAAAGAACCCACAAAGATATTCAATCTGCAACGTAGCAATTACCATTACAATCTTCGCTCCCCGAAGTACTAAATCATTAGGAACCCAAGCGCAACCACACTATCTAAGGGCCCGTTTGATAACCATTTCAATTTTAGTTTTGAGTTTTCATTTTTTGTGCTAGAGTATAGAAGAAAAAGAGAGAGAATGGAAGTGAGAATGAGAGGGAAGATGAGAGGGGAGGAGGGAGGAAGGAGTAACAAAAGTGAAAACAAAAACTTGAAAGTGAAAACAATTTCAAATAGATTTCAGTTTTTTGTTTTTGTTTTCACTTTTGTTACTCCTTCCTCCCTCCTCCCCTCTCATCTTCCCTCTCATTCTCACTTCCATTCTCCCTCTTTTTCTTCTATACTCTAGCACAAAAAATTAAAACTCAAAACTAGAATTGAATTGGTTATCAAACGGGCCCTAAGAGTTTCACCCAATCTTTGCTTTCAAAGTAAGTTCAGTGTCTCATTTAATCAATGCTAAAAACATCAACAACAACAACAAAAATTTATGGTTCAGCACAAAATTTACCAATATGTAATTCAATTATCATTATAAAAATTAAAGACAAAATGTGTTCATATTCTAGCAAAACTTATGAGCACTATGTGTACAATACTTCTGAGCAACAGCCTCATTTAACGATCATTGAAACAAGATATAAGAAGAAAAAAAATTCAAGAATATGAACCTCCTTTTCATGAGGAACTCAGAGCAGCTACTTCACTTTCCACTCAATTCAGATGGTGTTTTGGCCACTATCGACAATGCATGTAGTCCACTCTGCAACTCTTCTTGCAACAAACCATAAATGAGCCTATGCCTCTTAACTAAACTCTTCCCTTCAAACTCTTTAGACACAACTTTCACATTGAAATGTGTCTCACCATCACTTCCTCTAACACCGGCGTGTCCGGCATGCTGATAAGAGATATCTTCTACTTCCAATTCAATAGGACTAAGCCCTCTTTCCAATCTCTCCTTAATTCTCTTCCCTCTGCTCCCCAAATCGCCCGACTTTGACTCATCTTCATTCGTAACACTTGCCACTAGTTCCAATTGCTTAATATCTTCTTTAGAACCTAATCCAACATCCAAACCCTGGATACCACCATCAACTTTCGAACCCAAAGTCGAATTATTTTCACCACCCACCTCAGAATTCAATCCAAATTCTACTTTTTTAACACTATTTTCACTTTTTACCCTCGAATTTGAGCTACTTACTCCATTTTCTTCTTCCAGGAGCAATTCATAAGCCTTTTTCTGCATCAACTTCAACATATTCAAAAACCCATTATTCCTTGAAGGCGTTAAGCTCTGCTGAAGCCCCAGGAGGACTGCGAAATCAGGCGAGACCCGCAAAACCTCATCTACTGGGCGACCAGAGAGGCCATTGACGAGCAGAGCAGCGAGTCCCTTGGTGAGTACCGAGTCGGAATCGGCCTCGAAATATACGTTCTTGTCCGAGTCAAGGTAGGCCCTGACCCAGACCTGAGAGACACAACCCTCGACCTTGTTTTGCTTCGTTTTGAATTGGTCATCTAAAGGCTTGAGGTTCTTGCCGTAGAACAAGAGCTGCTCGTACTTGGCCTTCGATTCTTGTACGGACTGGAAGAGCTTAACTATCTCTTGAAGCTTTGGTGGGAGCTCTTCAATGGATTGCAGAGACATCGAGCTTGAAGCCGAAGATGCAGCTGATGCAGATGGTGATTTCGATGAGGATATGGTTGGTATTCTTTGGAAAGTGATTGGCCTTTTGAAGAAAGAGAGGTTTGGGTGTTTTGGCGATGAGGCTAAGAGGGCTTTTGGGTTTATAATGGAGCTTGGGAGTTTGGCTGTGAATAATCTAAACGACGATGAGATTGAAGAAGACGACGACATGTTTGGCTCTCAAGACTTGTCGAAGAAGAGAATTCAGAGAGACACAGTGGGGCAGATTCAGAGATAGACGAAGAGCGGCTCAAACTCACCGTTTTGTTTGGCAATTGAGCTCCCAAACGCACCGTTTCGTCTGGCTGCTAGTTGGGCTGTTCTTTACTGGACTACACTATCTCTCATTCTCATTCGGACCGAATCATTCTATAGTGAGGACTTATTTAACACGCTTAGATGAGGCCCAATTTCTTAATTTTTGGATCATGCTAACTAATTTTATCTAATTGTTAAGCGATAAAGTATCATCTAAGGCCCTCACTATAGAATTCTACGATTCAAATCATCGTTCAGTGTTTTCTGAGCCTTAAGCCCACAAAAGTACCAGCAAAAAGTGTTGTAAACAAAGCCATATCCAATTTGGGCATCAAACAAGTTGCGCCTAGTAAAAATAAGTCCAATACAACATAGGCACGACATACACGTTTACTTATAAGTAAAAAGAATAAGAAGAAAGAAAATGGTCTTCATTCATGACTTCTCCTGCATTTGCGTACAAATCATTTAATACGCAGATGTTTAATCAAATACCCAAAAACCAGATAGTTGATTTGATTTCCTATCCTATTCAATTTCTTCTTATTCCCACTACTTATAAGTAAATATCTTTTAAAAATTAAACTGATGTGTGACTTGCAGATTAGTGGTCTCAAGTTTGAAACTCTATGGCATTGTAGTAGTGTGTGTGAAACCCCCTTTCTCCTATAGTTTAAACTATCGTCTATACTCTTAACAACATCTTAATAGACACATACATGTCCATAAGGCGAAGTAAGGTTACAATTCTCATTCTCGTTATGCTTTTAGACAAGCCGTGAAATGAAGACCCTTTTCAGAGCTCGTCACATTCTCTTTTGCTTCCTATAATGAAAAATGTCACCATAAACGTTTGATAGGTAAGCCTCTTATGCTGGGAAGTTTGGTGCATAATCACTTGTCGCATCATAAGAATATGCACAATCACTCAAGATCATGTCATCTACCACGTTAGTATCCAAAACTTAGATTTATCTCAATCCTACTATTGTGTTCATGTTTTTTTAATTAGTTGAGATAACATAGTTAACCTACACTACTACAAAAAGTGAAAAAGACGACCAAAAAAAGACGACGGTAGAAGAAAAAACCGTCGTTGTATTTAAAAATACGATGGTAACAAAAAACCGTCGTGGATTAGTGACTTAAACAACAAAAAACCGGAGGTACTGTTGAATATTTTTTTATAACGACGCACACAAATAAAAAAGCATCGTCTTATTAAAAAGGTTTTCTTCATAGTTAAAATCTGACCAAAAAACAACGACAGCAGGTATGACAAGCGTCGTCTTTTAAAATCAAATGTCATTTTTTTGGTAAAGACGTGGTTGTTTTGATAAAAATCATCGTCTATTATATGTAAAGATGACGATTATTATACAAACCGTCGTCTATTATATGTAAAGATGACGCTTTTTATAAAACCCGTCGTCTATAGTATGTAAAGATGACGCTTTTTATAAAAACTGTCGTCTATTGTATGTAAAGATGACTCTTTTTATAAGTCGTCATCTATTGTATGTAAAGATGACGCTTTTTATAAAAATCGTCGCCTATTGTATGTAAAAATGACGTTTTTTTATAAATAAAAAAAAGTTGTCTATTATATGCAAAAATGATGCTTTTTATAAATAAAAAAAAAGGTCGTCTATTGTATGTAAAAATGACGCTTTTTATAAAAACCGTCGTCTATTGTATGTAAAGATGACGCTTTTTATAAAAAACTGTCGTCTATTATATGTAAAGATGACTCTTTTTATAAAAACCGTCGTCTATCGTATGTAAAGATGATGTTTTTTATAAAAATCGTCGTCTATTGTATGTAAAGATGACTCTTTTTATAAAAACCGTCGTCTATTATATGTAAAGATAACGCATTTTATAAATAAATAAAAAGGTCGTCTATTGTATGTAAAGATGACGCTTTTTATAAAAATCGTCGTCTATTGTATGTAAAGATAACACTTTTTATAAAACCGTCGTCTATTGTATGTAAAGATGAAGCTTTTTATAAAAAACCGTCCTCTATTGTATGTAAAGATGACGCTTTTTATAAAAACCGTCGTCTATTATATGTAAAGATAACGCATTTTATAAATAAATAAAAAGGTCGTCTATTGTATGTAAAGATGACGCTTTTTATAAAAATCGTCGTCTATTGTATGTAAAGATAACACTTTTTATAAAACCGTCGTCTATTGTATGTAAAGATGAAGCTTTTTATAAAAAACCGTCCTCTATTGTATGTAAAGATGACGCTTTTTATAAAAAAAACCGTCGTTTAACAATTAAGAGTTTATCTATACTTTCGTTAAATATAACATAAGATTTTGTGGTATCCACTAGTGTAAATATTTTAAATTGAAGAAAAAATTCAGTCATTGTATTCATATAGGGTCAAGGAGTGTACCTGTAAAAAATCATCAAAATCAGAGTTAAAATATCCTTTAATTCATGATTTTTCATTTATAACCATTGAAATTTTTTGTCTCGTTACTTGATCTCTAAATGTTTATTTTTTCCGATTTTTTGGCGTATATGATCTCGAAGTATAAACAAACAAGTTTGACGGTTGGATCTTTGAAACTAGTTTCTTAGAATGCGTATGCCATCAAAACAATATATTCACTAACAATTAAGAGTTTATTTATACTTTCACTACATATAACATAAGATTTTGTGGTATCCACTAGTGTAAATATTTTAAATTGAAGATCAAATTCAGTCATTGTATTCATATAGGGTCAAGGAGTGTAGCGGTAAAAAATCATCAAAATCGGAGTTAAAATAACCGTTAAATCATGATTTTTCATTTATAACCGTCGAAATTTTTTGTCCCGTTACTTTATCTCTGAATGTTTATTTTTTCCGATTTTTGGCGTATATGATCTCGAAGTATAAACAAACACGTTTGACGGTTGGATCATTGAAACTAGTTTCTTA